TCTCTCTCTCTCTCTGTGTGTGTGTGTGTGTGTGTGTGTGTGTGTGTGTGTGTGTGTGTGTGTGTGTGTTTTGCAGGCTCTCCTATTCCTCCTCCTGGTGTGGCTACCACATCAGATTCCCAGAGGGGTCAGCTCCAGGGCCATATGACCCTTTGCTGCCAAGAAAGGCAAGCCAGCCAGGCCTGGGAGCAGGTCTCTAACCACAGCTGCTCAAAAGGCCAAAGCAGGAGAATCTCTAGTTCAAAGCTCGTCTGGACAATTTAGCAGAAGTAAAAAGAGGGTGGGGGAAAAATACATAAACACGCATATATTCCAATGGTGTTATAATACTGTATATGACATAGTATGTATGATACATTATATAGTCCAGTGGTAGAGCACTTACTTGCCTAGGAGGTACAAGGCCCTTCAACTCCCAGTTGTGGAGAGAGAGGGGTAGAGGTAGAAGGAGAGGTAGAAAAGAATCAGTGGCATGTGATTCTTATAAGATGCATTATATTCTTGTAAGATACCTCTTATATGAGGTATCTAGCTTATTCAAATTCATGGAGACAGGGTGTATAATGGTGGTTACTGGGAGTTGGGAGAAAATGATCAGTTTGTGGGAATAGAGGTTCATGTTTTCCAAAAGATGAAAACTTTTGGAGATAAATGGTGGTGTTGGTTGCAAGCCGGTGTGCATGTCCTTAAGGCCACAGAACTGCACACTTTAAAATGGCTGAAACACAGACCAGAGAGATGGTCCATTTAGCTGTTCTCGGTGAGACTCTAATTTTTGGAGCCAGAGAACTTGGGGCCAGAGTTCAGAGCCTGCCATTGTGCAGCCAGTTTAAGTGTTTAAGAACGAGAGTGTGGAGATGCTTTCTGGGAGCCGCAAAGTGCTTTTCCATCATCCTCCGTCCTTTTCATCGCGCCCGCTTATGGAGCAAGTTAGCAGTAGACACTAAAGAGCGAATACCATAGGAAAATAAGCATGGCTGCTACAATACAAAGTTCAGCCTCCACTGCAGACCGTGGTAGCAGCCCGCAGGACCCACGGCTGAGAACCAAGCAGATGTCCTTGAGGCTGAGCCCTGAGAAAAGAGATTCTGCACAGTGGGAGGGTCAACCTGAATCAGGCCAGATGAGGGTGTGACACAGCGTAGACTCTACCAGATTCTGATATTCTTTGAGATGTAATTCACATGTGATTAAAATCCACTATTTTAAAGTATGTGGTCCAGTAGGTTTTAGTACTGTAGGGAAAAAGGAAAAAATGTCCCCTTTGCCCTTTGCCCTCTGGAGGGTCACTGGAGTGAACTAATAGCACAGATTAGCGAGAGAAAACAGCACACACATATTTAACTTGGATGGTGAGGAATCCCATGAGCGTGATTACCAGCAGCCCGGATAGGCAGAGCTGCGTACACATCTGTCTTCATAGAACACAGGAAGGCAGGACTGTAGACAACGTAGTAAATTGTTGCAGGAAATGAACATTTGGGGGAAGGACCTAACTGGTGGAGAGCGCCTGTAACCCCAGGATTTGGGAGGCAGAGGCAGGCAGATCTCTATGAGTTCAAGGCCAGCCTGGTCCACATAAATTCTAGGCCAGTTAGGGCTACAAGGTGAAACCTTGTCTGCAAACAAAACAAAACAAAACAAAACAAAACAAAACAAAACAAAACAAAACAAAAATGAACATTTGGAGGAATGAATGGGTCTAGAGCATAGATAGATGAGTTTAGGATGGAACTGACCTGCCTGTGGTAGATTAATACTGTCTGGGGGATAATGGAAAGAGGAAGAAGAAATTAAATGCTAACAGGTGTGGATACTGGAAATGTTCTAGAATTAAATCGTGGTGATTGCTGTATAACATGGTGAGTAATTAAAACCAGTGAATTTCACACTTTAAAATTATTTATGTCTTAGGCTGGGCATGGTGGCACATGCCTTTAATCCCAGCACTCAGAAGGTAGAGGCAGGTGGATCTCTGTGAGTTCGAGGCCAGCCTGGGCTATGTAGGACAGCCAGGGATACACAGTGAGACTCTGTCTCTAAAAACAAAACAAAAATTGTCTTTATTCCATTCATTTCTAAACAAAAATTCTAAACTATCCTCACATTTACTTAATTTTCTTGCAAATATCTGGGTGTTTTCTAAATATCTTCCTGGTTTTGCTTCTAATTTAATTATCTTGTGATTAAGTTTCAATTTTTAAAAGAAAATGTAGTCTTTTTCCTTTTTTCTTTGCAGGGCTGGACACTGGACCCAGAATTTCACACATGCCAGGTAAGTACTCTACCACTGAGCTCCATCTCCAGCTCAAATGTAGTCTTTTTTTTTTTTTTTTTATGTTTTTCTGCCCCAAACTATAAGCTACCTTGTTGACTGTCTTGTGTAAACTTAAAAAGAAATGGGTGTCCTGTTGTTGAGTGGAAGACTCTATAAGTCTCAGCTCAAGTCAAATGACCACGCTGTCACATCTTCTATATTCTTATTTTTCTATATGTTCTATTGATTCTTGAGAATTTCTTTTAAAGCTATAGTTGTGTGTCTGGTTCATCTTTACATTTCATCCATTTTTCTTTCATGTGCTATAAAATTCTGTTTGTGGATATACAAATGTTGAGTTTTATTATGTCTTCCTATATCTTTCTATCTTTATAAGATTGTCTCTCTATCTTTAGTGATATCCTTTGCTCTGTAGTCTCCTTTTGCAGTAATTAAGTCATTCCAGATTTCTAAAAAGTGCTGCATGGTTCAGCATCTTATTCTTTTACTTGGAGACTATCTTCATTTTTATTCTTAAAGGTGTCTCTTCTATAAGCACATGTAAATAGAATAGTCTACAGTTTGTTTTCCTATTGTCCTGTCTGCCCCTCACTGTTCCCTTCTTTGTGTGGACTGAGCATTCCTTTCTATATTTCATTTTATCTGCATCATTGCCTTTCACGTTCATGTTTGTGTGGCCCTTGTGTTAACCTCTGGCACTTTTCACTCTTTTTGTGTGGATCTAAGCTTCCTGCCTAAAGAACTTCCTTTAGTATTTCTTACAGTGCAGATCTACTTGTAGTGAAACTCTCTAGTTTTGCTTTGAAAAGTCTTTATTATGCCTTTGCCTTTTATAAAGAGCATTTTCACTGGATACAGAATGCTAGGCTGAGTTCTTGTTTTCTTTATGAGAATTCAAGGTATTGTTCCATTGTCTTCTAGCTGGCCTAACTTTGGTCAAAAGTCTGCAATATTTCTTATTCTTTTCTAGAACATAAAATAATAGGTTTTTTTTTTTTGAGTTTACATTTAAGATTTTTCTTAGCCAGGCGGTGGTGGCGCACGCCTTTAATCCCAGCACTCGGGAGGCAGAGCCAGGTGGATCTCTGTGAGTTCAAGGCCAGCCTGGACTACCCCAGAACAACAAGAGGGGCTTAGGGAGCCCTA